AAAAAATAGAGAAAAACAATGAAAATCCAAGAAATACATTTTTAAACATATTTGCATCTTTTTTAGCATTTTCAACATCATCTCACGAGAATTAAAATTTTCAAATATATTTGGAACGTGTTCAACTTTTAACGCGTTATTTTTAAAATCATTGATCTTCCTCATTGAGTCGATGTTGATATTGCTTGTTTTAAAAAAAAATACAAAAAAATTAAAAAAATCACAATTTAAAAAAAATAAAATTGAAGGACCAATTTTGAAATCCAAGCAACATTTTACCTATAAATAGCAACCTTTAACACAAAGGAAAAAGGGGGGGCAATTTTGACAAAAAGAAGGAGAAAAGAAACCCTAAAACACAAAAAACCCTAACATTTTTCTCTAAGAGCCGCCGCCTCCCTCACCCCCTCAAACCTGTCAGCTTCGCTGGACAATTTCTCCCTCGTCTATCGTTGGATCAACGTGAAATTTGGGTATGTTGTGCGCCCCTATATAGTCTACATTCGGACCGGAGAGATCATTCGTATTTGAAACTACAAGAGAAATATTACGATTTGAATATTTCTGGAGAAACCCCTCTCGGAACAGTTAGAGCCGCCGGCCTATTTCTCCATTATTAACCGTTGGATCAACCTGAGTTTTGGATATTTGATGAGTATGGGTGTATTGTACATTCGGAACGGTGGAGATGAGATGAAACCCATCCAAAAAGGTGTTATGCGTGTTCAACAGTGGCTCGCCAATCTCAGGTCAGTTTCGGTCTAACTCCGATCTAGGGAGATCCAACCGTTAACTCCGGCTGATATTTGGATATATGCTGCAAGAGATGTCGGTTTATCATTTCACCGTTGGGATTTGTTATTGTTTCAATGGTTGATGAGTAATGGTCTTCGGAAGCTTTGCCCAAAATCTGTCATCGCTTTCGATTTGGAAACCCAAATCACAACACCCACCGCCGGCGCCGGAAGATAGAGAAGAGGAAGACGGCCGATCTACTGGTTCTGCCACCTCCGGCACCGGCGGCTCATGGAGGAAACGCGCCACCACTATCCACGGGCACTGTTCACACAACCTTATAAGGGACTGTAATGCAATTTCTGGAGTTTTAGGGACTGTTTTGTAAAATTTAAATTATTTAATGTAATTTTTATTTAGTTTTGGATTTTTATAATTTGTAATGTGGATGTAAAAAAAAAGGAAAAGAAAAGAAAAAAGAAAAAGAAAAGGAATAAAAAAATGCATGTGTGTGTGTTTGTATTGGTCTTATGAATGTTTTTTTTTATTTATGATAAAATTGCAGAGAATAAAAAAGAATTTAATATTTTGATTGGATCACGGTGTAGAAGTACAAACTTGTACGGAAGTTGTATTTCTAAAATCCGATGAAAAGATAAAATTTTTAAAACTTCTTTAACACATCAAGTCCATGAAGCAGCTTACCTCAGGTAGGGTGGGTTAGGGGTGCTAATACCTTCCCTAACCACAACCGGTCCCTTACCCGCGAATCTCTGACAAGACCAGTACAATCGGGTTTCCTAGTAACCTTCAATTAAATACTAGGTGGCGACTCCTAATGAATCCAACAAGATCAAATCAAATAATAATGATGAAAAATCATTGGAGTGCCGCACGGATTTTTTTTTTTGACGTACGACACCCATGATCCCTATTATTTAGAACATAATGGGGCATTTTCTCCCTCATGCTCTCTATAATCTTAGTGGCTTATTTTCCAACAAGTGGTGTATAATTACTACCTATGATCCCATAATCTAGTAGCTTATAAAGAAATCCCTTTGATCAGCCCCACATTTTGCCTTACGATCCCATGATCTTGGAAGTCCATAACTCCCACTCACCCACGTTCTGCATGCCCACCTAGTAGCCCAATTACCAATTCTTACTGCATTAGTTATTGAGTCACTCGTATGCCTTGGATAGTCCTTCATTCAAGTTTCAGATCGTGCTAAGTTGAACCCATGACTTGCACAAGCTGTTGTGCACTGCCGAATTCGCATCTGCATGTAGGTTGTCACTATTTGCACTGTAAGTTCCATGACAACCACAATTCTTATTAGCCTATCTCCCTGACAAGTTTTCTTGCCTGGCTTGGACATTCCAGCATCTAACCCATGGTAGTCAACAATTTGCACTATAGATTTTCCTTTGACAAACCTATAATTGCACAAATATATGTTGTTGATTTTTTCCACTATTGGCATAACTGCTGATTAGTACTTAAAAGTGCATTTTTATCATGGTTTTATATCATCATTTTGAACTCGAAGTATAAATAACTCCTTAACTAAAATATGTTTTATAATAATATATCTAATAATATAAGATACCTTTAATTTATGGTAAATGTTCATTTTAAATGCAGGCCTATCACATAAATGAAAGGATTGATTGATGACTTTAAGAACTTAAATTGTAAGGATAAAGAGATGGCCAAACTTAGAAAATAGATGTCGGTGCAATCCAAACCGGAACACTGTTGGGTAATTGGGTCATATCTGGAGCTATAGATCTCAGATTTAGGTCCACTTTATATAGTTGGAAAGGTAAGACATAGGCCTACAACTTTTATATAGAGCCCAAGATCTAAAAAGGTCATTTTCAAGTCCAAGTTATAGCAACAACAAAGAAGTCTGAATCTGTCCTCCAGCCCGAGTACTATTTAGTATTTTGGTCATATCTAGAGGTCTAGAAGTCCAAATGAGCTTAATGTTTTACATAAGATAGCTGAGATAATTTCCTACAACTTTTATGTTTTCGAGTGGCTCTAATTTTGACGTTATCAATGATGTTTTGGGCAGACAAGAGAAGATAAGGATTTTCACCAAGTCAAGAGTTGGCCACCCTGTTATCAATTAGTCATCAAATCAATAGTTCCTAATTTTGGCCTATAAAAGGAGGCATTTGCCATGCATTTAGGCATTTTGGTGTTCAGATCAATATCATGCTCTTCCTTTCTCTCTTTGTATTTTTTATGCTTTGTTTTTATTAATATCAAGTTTATGCCTTTCATTTCCTTTCCTTTACTTAGTTAACTTTTATGTTCTTATTTTGTTTATCTATTTTTTTTTCTTTCATTATGTCTAGCTAAGTTAATTATGTCAAGGTAAAAAGGTTACACTAATGGTGTAAGAATAAGTATAATATAAATTTAATATGAACTTTAATGTTTGATACTAACATGTTTTATATTTGTTATCTTGTTCACTCTTTAATACTTTGCTTGTTAAATGACTAATCTTGATTTATGTTGTATAACACTTGGTACAAGAAATGCTTGGCACTTTCATAGTTCATACTGTATGGTATAATCGACACCTGAGCTATGAAAGGAACTTGATTTGTTGTTAACATAAGTTATAATCATGAATGCTTGATGAGATATACAAGTATTAGCATTAATCGAATAAGATGACTAATGTAATTATGTTAACAATCTATAATATGATTGGAACCTCCTTTATGTGTGGTTTCCAATTGAATAATAAGAGTTTATATTATACTTGTTTGACATACCATTAGTGGAAGCTCTAACCTTGACATCTACTACCACCACTACCACCACCACTACCACCACTACCACCACCACTACCACCACCACTACGACCACCACCACCACCACCACCACCACCACCACCACCACTACTACTACTACTACCACTACTACTAGGCGTTAACCCTTTATAGAAATGTGAAACCAATCTCCATGTTTCAAAACCATGATAAGGGCAAGTACTAAGCAAGTCTCGATACCTATCCCAACATTGGTAAAATGTTTCTCCTGATTTTTGAGTGAAAGTAGTGATTTGTCTTTTGAAAGAGTTTGTTCTGTGAGATGGGAAAAACTTCTTCAAAAACTATTATTGCATTTCATCCCAAGCACGAATAGATCCTAGTCTTAAATTTTATAGCCATGTTTTAGCTTTATCTTTTAATGAAAAAGGAAAAAGCTTTAATCTGATGGTGTTCATGTTAAAATTTAAGTTATTATATGTGTTGCGGACCTCCTCAAATACCCTTAAATGCAAGTATGGATTTTCCAATTCCAAGCCATGAAAAGAAGGTAAAAGTTAAATAATGTCTGACTTAAAATTAAAATGAGATGCATCAGGAGGAAAAACTATGCATGATGGTGCACTTGTTCTTGTGGGATTCATGTGGTCTCTAAGTGTTCTAGCACGATTATTCTCATTATTCTCATTATGAAGTGGTTGATTATCTTCCTGGCAACGGCGCCAAAAACTTGACACGACCAAAAAATTGATGTCTTCTCCAAGTGTAGGAGTGTCAAAGTAATAAATAACCCGGCAAGACTAGGGTCGAAACACAGGGAGGTTAATTGTACAAATTATAAACAACAATAATAACAATACAATAACAACAACAACAATAGTA